AACACCTAACATCAAAAATATCATCAAAAAAGCACAAGAAAGAAGGTCCTTTTTGTGCCAACTCAGAAAGCTCAAACTCAGAAAGTATCAAACTGATACAGTTCTACAGAGGAATTATTGAGTCTATCATCTGCACCTCTAAAACTGTCTGGTTTGGTTCTGCAACCCAACAGGACAGACACAGACACAGACTTCAGAGTATAATTAGGACTGCAGAAAAAACAATTACTACCAACCTGCCTTTCATTGAGGACCTGTATACTAGACCAGACAAAAAGATGGCTATGAAAATATTTACAGACCCCTCACATCCTGGACATAAACTATTTCAACTCCTTCTCTCAAAACGATGCTATAGAGCACTGGTTCCCAAACTTTTTCAGTCCACTGCCCCCTTGGTGCTACAAACTCATCCTCAATGCCCCCCACCCAGGCTGGGATTCAAATTTCTGTGGGCGTGGCCTAATTTGAGAGTGTGGTTTGCTGGTCACATGACTGGGTGGGTGTGGCTTGCTGGTCACATGACTGGGTGGGTGTGGTTTGGTGACTGGCAAACCAAATACAAGTGGTCCTCACTTAATGGCCAGTTGCTTAGCAAGTGTTCTAATTTATGACTGGCCTTCCCAGAACTACTTGACCTGTTTTTGGAGTTTTGACAGCCATGCACACACATATACACATACTCCCTCCCAACCCTCCTGGAGCAGGTCATTGGAGTAGATTGCTCTCCTTTCCCAATGCTGCATTCGGGGCGAGGCCCCCAGGATCACCCCATTGAGCTCCTTGCACCAGAGCATGCAAGTCAATGGGGTGATCCTGCAGGGCCTTGCTTTGAACGCGGCGGCGGCGTGATTTTTTTCTCACCCCTGAATTGTGTCCTGTCACTCACCTCCAGTGCCCCCCCTGCTGCCTCCTAGCACCCCCCTGCCGGCCCCCTTGCCTCTCAGCGCTCCCTAAGGCATCGCACCGCCCCCCTGGGGGCGGTACCGCCCACTTTGGGAGCCACTGCTATAGAGCACTGCACACCAGAACAACTAGACACAAGAACAGTTTTTCCCTGCAAGCCATATTTGTTAAACAAATAATTCCCTCAACACTGTTCAACTATTTACAAAGTCTGCACTACTATTACTATTAATAGCTGCTTCAAGGGCTTGAATGACATAAATGAGGCATGAACGGTTAAATCTCATTCACAAGTTATTAAACATCATACCAAAGATGAACTTCACGTAATGTATTTTGCATACAGTGGAGTTTGGCTCATAAAGAATATTTAAATCTTGGCCTCTGACATTTAGCACTGGTTTATTAGGGGCTGAACATGTCACTCTCTCTTTTTGGTAGTTTTTGAGAATGTCTAACCTGTATCTGTTCCTCTTATGCTCTGTACCAATGTTTCTCAGTTCTCAAAAATATAGAATATAGAACAAATGTCCAAAAATAAAGAAGTTGCTGGTTCAAAGTTTATACTGATGACCTTTTTTCTCCTACCATAGAATATTTCAAAAGGAAACAGCAAAAGAGGTACATGTTATTAAGTAGGCTGCCCTTCCTAGATAAGGAGGTTGTGACAATAATTGGAAAGGGAGAAATTACAGTATTTTAACTCATGTCACTACTCAATATTTTTTCCATAAGTTGCAAGGAAAATAACTATATGACAATGCAGATGCATTGAGAGAAAAACTATATTGTTGGCAAGTTATTGAAAAAGCAGTTTAAAACTAGAGCAGCAGCAACAGGAATGAGTCTATTGAGAAAGAATTTCAAATTTTGTTCCTATAAGTCCTTTGGGCCTCTGTCCCCAGTTATACAGGTGAAACTTAAAAAATTAGAATATCGTGCAAAAGTTCATTTATTTCAGTAATGCAACTTAAAAGGTGAACCTAATATATGAGATAGACTCATTACCTGCAAAGCAAGATAGTTCAAGCCGTGATTTGTCATAATTGAGATGATTATGACTTACAGCTCATGAAAACCCCAAATCCACAATCTCAGAAAATTAGAATATTGTGAAAAGGTTCAATATTCTAGGCTCAAAGCATCCCACTCTAATCAGCTCATTAAGCCATAACACCTGCAAAGGGTTCCTGAGCCTTTAAATGGTCCCTCAGTCTGATTCAGTAGGAATCACAATCATGGGAAAGACCGCTGACCTGACAGTTGTGCAGAAAACCATCATTGACACCTTTCATAAGGACGGAAAGCTTCAAAAGGTAATTGCAAAAGAAGTTGGATGTTCCCAAAGTGCTGTATCAAAGCACTTTAATAGAAAGTTACGTGGAAGTGAAAAGTGTGGAAGAAAAAGGTGCACAAGGAGCAGGGATGACCACAGCCTGGAGAGGATTGTCAGGAAAAGGCCATTCAGAAGTGTTGGGGACTTTCACAAGGAGTGGACTGAGGCTGGAGTCAGTGCATCAAGAGCCACCACACACAGACAGATCCTGGACATGGGCTTCAAATGTCATATTCCTCTTGTCAAGCCACTCCTGAACAAAAAACAACATCAGAAGCATCTTACCTGGGCTAAAGAAAAAGAGAACTGGTCTGTTGCTCAATGGTCCAAAGTCCTCTTTTCTGCATCTCATCTCAATTTTTGCATCTCATTTGGAAACCAAGGACCCAGAGTCTGGAGGAAGAATGGAGAGGCACACACTGCAAGATGCTTGAAGTCCAGTGTGAAGTTTCCACAGTCTGTGTTGATTTGGGGAGCCATGTCATCATCTGGTGTTGGCCACTTCTGGCATGTGTGCCATAGGTTCACCATCACGGCCCTATACCATTTCAGACCAATGTTTGTCTAATATCTTCTTAAAAACTTCCAGTGTTGGAGCATTCACAACTTCTGGAGGAAAGTTGTTCCACTGATTAATTATTCTAACTGTCAGGAAATTCCTTAATTCTTAATTCCTAACTGTCAGGAATCCTCCTTAATTCTAGGTTGCTTCTCTCCTTGATTAGTTTCCATCCATTTTGTCCTGCCTTTGGCTGCTTTGGAGAATAGATCGATTCCGTATTCTTTGTGGAACCCCCTGAGATATTAGAACAGTGCTATCATGTCATACATAGTTCTTCTTTTCATTAAATTATCCAATTCCAGCATATATGTTTTAGCTTCCAATGCCCTAATCATCTTTGTTGCTCTTCTCTATATAATTTCTATAATCTCAACTTTTTTATGTCATGACAACCCAAACTGGATGCAGTATTCCAAGTGCGGCCTTACCAAGGCATTATAAAGTGGTATTAACACTTCATGTGATCTTAATTCCATCCCTCTGTTAATGCAGCCTAGAACTGTGATGGCTTTTTTGGCAGCTGCAGCACACTGCAGGATCATATTTAAGTGATTGCCCACTAAGACTCTAAGGTCCCTTACACAGTTACTACTATTGAGCTAGGTATCACTTATACTACCATGTTTTCCCCAAAATAAGACCTGGTCTTATTGGGAGGTTTGCTCCAAAATAAGTGCTAGGGAAACACAATTTCAGGATGAACAGCCCTGCTGGGCGCCCCAATTCCCAGTGTGTGGACAAAAGGTGGCAAGCACACGGGGGCTGATGGTGTCCCGAGCAGCTGTAGCCTGCTGATTGTGTACCTGTCCAAGCAGCAGATGGCGGCTGAGGTACAGGGTGGAAGCATGCAATCTGGATGCACTGTGCAGGCCATGGGAAAACAGAAAGTTGGTGGGCTAGAGTGGGCGGCCAGCCACAAGAGGCTTGTCTTCATGTCTCTTGGCTTGCCTGTGGTCCATGTGGAGCATCAGGTTTGTCTGCCTTCTCTTCCTGTATCTCTGCCTCTGTTTTCTGCTGATGCTGCCAGATGAAGATGAGCATCCCGTAGCCAGCCACCTGCTCCAGCCCACTGACTCTCAGCTTTCCTGCAGCACATCCGGATTGCCTGTCTCCCTCCTGCCTCTGCCTCCACCAGTTGCTGGGATGGGTAATCAACTTACTTACTCTGCAAAGGCTATGGCTGGTACTGGCCCCCATTGGCCCCCATGCCCTCGCTGCCTCCAGTGTTGACCATGCACAGTCCCACCTGGGCTGATGACAATCTTCACTAGGGCTTATTTTTGGGATAGGGCTTGTATTAGGTACATGCTTAAAAATCTGGCTGGGGCTTATTTTCAGGATAGGTCTTATTTTTGGAGAAACATGTTATACCTGTGCATTTAGTTTGTCTTGCCTAAACTTTCATAATTTCCCATTTGCTAATTGTAATCACACATTCCCAACTGCCTCTCCTTTTTCTGATTCAGTTGATCAACCACAGATGTAAACTTTTCCTTCCTTGATCATGGGATCAGCAAGCAAGCACTTCATTCAATAGAGAATATTAAAGCAAACATGTTTTATGATCCACATACCAAACAACCTTCTTAAAGCAGTCGATCAAGATTATTCACTCATATCAACTATGTATAATTATTGTTCCACTACAAATCTCCATGAAAATTTATTCTCATACAACTCTAGTCCCAGGGTATTGCTCCACAAATATTATGAAATGAACTATGATCCTCATAAACTTGTAACAATAGCAACACTTGTTTTAAGACTACAGATTATTTTATGAAACAAAACACAGCTGTTCTTCTGGAAATGTTTAAAATTTAAAATTTTACAAACTGTGATTAATTTACATTTTTGAAAATGTATTGTTTAAACCTGAATGTATAGATTGAAGTCTGTTCAAATATGTATGTATTATTAATGTACCAGTTTCTTTCTTTGTATGGGTCCTCCATTATAAGACAAAAAAATAACCTCAAATCTGACACATAATAAACATATAAAGTCACCAGAAAAACAAATATACCTTTAATGAAACAAGGCCAATACTGGCTTTCGGCATAAGCTAAACAAGCTACAACTACAGCCTTAATCTATTGAATCCCAAGGTGGCCAGAGTAGAGCCTTCAGAAGAATCTTCCAAATTTCCTAGGAAATTATTAGAAAAAGAGAAGATTAGCGTTAGGATATCCTTACCAAGTATAGTGTTTCCTACCCAAACTAGAAGCAACTTCCAGAACTTCTAGATTCTTCAAAGCGTTTTGGGCTATTTTCCAGAGTAACTGGGTACTTTGAAATCTTGCTGGAGAAAGAGGCTAGAGAAATTCCCTTTGATATATCAATAAGTAAGCCAGGGCGTGTTTAGCTTCTTTGAAAGCTAAATCCTTTGGGGATTCCCTGTTAAGCAGAATGGAGGGAAAACAGAAACTTCAAGTTTCCTCTGAGAAATGTTTCTTTTTGCTCCTCCCCACCCTCGTGCCACTATGAAAGAAGAAGAGGAGGAGGAGGAGGGGGAGGAGGAGGAGACCCGGAGGAGAAACACTCTTTCATACATACACTTAGATTTAAAGTGTACAGATTATGAGAGCTAATCCAGCAGGAATCCTGGGGAATGACATTCAGCATATTCTCAGTGGTGTTGAACAGTTCCACAGTTAGTTCCATCAGCTATGATCTTTGCTGATCCAGTCAGGTTTGACAGCAATCAGACATGTCCTGATCACATCCTGTGTTTGCAAAATCCTCTAAAAGGGACAACATTTGAAATCTCTAGAAGTTGCAGGTGGGTTTCAATCAGAGGTGGTATTTAGCAGGCTCTGACCAGTTCTGGAGACCCGGTAGTGGAAATTTAGAGAAACGGCCAATACTACCTCTGACTGGAGATTTTACAACATCCTTCCCCTGCCATGGTCACCAAACCATGCCCACAGAACCAGTAGTAAAAAAATTTGAATCCCACCACTGGTTTCAATACAGTACTAACCTATGCAAAGTACCAAGATGACATGGTGTCTGAACTGAAAGATGGTTACTAGTTGTTTAGCAGGCCAAATTTAAACTGTGGTAATATTTGTCCTAAAATCCATAATGGTTTAGGGCAGTGGTTCCCAAACTTTTTCAGTCCACCGCCCCCTTGGTGCTACAAACCCATCCTTGGTGCCCCCCACCTGGGGGTGGGATTCAAATTTGTGTGGGCATGGCCTAATTTGAAGTGTGGCTTGCTGGTCATATGACTGGATGAGTGCGGCTTGCTGGTCATGTGACTAGGTACGTGTGGCTTGCTGGTCATGTGACTGGGTGGGCGTGGCTTGCTGGTCACATGACCGGGTAGGTATGGTTTGGTGGTCATGTGACTGGGTGGACATGGCCAGATGACTGGCCTCCCCAGAGCTACTTGACCTGTTTTTTGGAGTTTTGACAGCCACGCACACACACACACACACACACACACACACACACACACACACACTCCTAACCCTGCTGGAGCAGGTCATTGGACTAGAATCGGCAAAGCATCTCTGATTAGATTCTTGTAGTGAATAGAATCTAATCAGAGATGCTTTGCCGATTCTTGTTGATGTTTTATTTGTATTTCTTTATTTTATGTTGCTGAATTGCATTGACATGTGTGTCCCTTCTTGTGTACAACCCAGAAGCTTTTGTGATTCTTTGCAGCAAAAATTACTGACCTCTGGTTTGCTCTACTTTTCAAACGTGCCACCACTGCTGTGTTCTAGGTGCCATCCCATTGATCCTGCTGCATCGGAGAGACCTGCCCAAGCAAGTCTGAGCGGAGTGGGGGGGAAAGGGTGCAAGCTGTTTCCCCCCCACCTATGCCCCCTAGCCCCAATTCAGCCTCCATGCACATGCGCCCCTTGCCAAGCTACAGAAGGCTGCTGGGGGGGGGTGGGGTGTCCCAGACCCCGGAGTGAGTGGGTGGGTGGATGGGTGCAAGAGACTCCTTAATCCATATTGCAACTGGGGAGAGGGTGTAAGCCTGTCCCCCCCCCGCCATCCTCTCCCCAATTTTCCCAGCTTGGGGGGGGGGGAAACAGCGCTGCTCCCCCCCCATCAGTCCATTCCTGTGCATGCGCCCACGCACTCCCGCTCACCCACCCACTTTGCACCGACAGGGCATCTTTCCCCCCGCCACTATTGGCAGCTCTTTGGGCATCACGCGGCGCAAGTCCTGTGCAGTAAGGTGGCTGGCTGCCTGCGCAAACTGGCTGGCTTGGAAGGGTTGCTTACCCCATGGAACCCCTTGCACCACTCCGGTGCAACAGTCAATGGGTAAGCCTGAGAGAGGGAGAGAGAGAGAGAGAGAGAGAGAGAGAGAACTGGTAGAATCCCACCCCTGAATTGCACCCTGCACCCACCTCCAGTACCCTCCTACCACTTCTTAGCATCCCCCTGCTGCCCCCCTTGCCTCTTAGCGCCCCCCTAAGGCATCCCACCCCCCCAGGGGGTGGTACCTCCTACTTTGGGAACCACTGGTTTAGGCCCTGATAATCTGAAAGATTTCATCAGTAAACTATTGAAATCTGTAGCAAAAGCCTGCCCCACCCTTGTGACATAACTGCTATGAAGGATTTGTATATCTGGCACTTGAGGGTGGTCAGTATGCAATCTATCTGTCAAAGAGACCAGGCCTTTAAAGTCAAGTGACCTTCTTTGTGGTTTAATTTTATTTTATCTTCCATTTTTATTTGTATGAGTATCTATACTGTAAAATAATTATAGCATTCTCTGTGAAGGTGGAGGCAGCGTACAGTTGTTTTTAAATTAAAAATGAAATTTTAATCTAAATGTTTACATTTGATTTAAAATTATTTGTTACATCTTATACCGTTGGAGAAAAATAAATGTAAAGTTTTAGCTTAAAAATATGGAAAGTTGCTCCCTTTAGTACTTCCCTTCATGGAAATCTAGGGATTTCTTAGAGGAGGGCCCAGGAGGGTCTACTGTTGCTCCTGCCCTCTGGAACATCCTGTTCTCCCCACCCACCCATGTGAGGTTGGCCTCAACCAGAGGTGGTATTCAGCAGGTTGTGACCAGTTCTGGAGAATCCGTAGCGGACGTTTGGAGTAGTTTGGAGAATCGGCAAATACCACCTCTGACTGGAGATTTTACCGTGTCCTTCTCCTGCCACACCCACCAAGCCACACCCACAGAACCGGTCGTAAAAAAAATTGAATCCCACCACTGGGCCCAACTCTCCTATCATTTTGTGAGAGGCTAAAGACAAGTCTTTGTCCCATCAGCTTGGGACTCCAATGGGGAAAGAGCACAATAGAGGTAGTTGATTGAGTAATAACAGATCCCATCTGCCCCCACACTCTGTCTTCTCCCTATGTATCTTTGGTTTTAATGTTTGTTTTTAACCTTTCATGTTTTAGCTTAAATGTACAGTAACTAAGCTGCTCATGGTAAGATGGACAGCAAAAAAAATAATAAAAAAATTATATATGGACAGCCAATAAATTTTATTGGGTATTGGTGGAAACCTTTCATTTTCCTCAGCTAAGCAGACTTTTCTGATCACCAAACACAGAAACAAACCTGTGGAACATCCTCCTTTCTATCAAGTCTATCTGAATGAGGTGTTCAATAAACCCTTTTCAGGAAGGAAGGAGGGAGGGAGGGAGAGAGAGGAAGGGAGGGAGAGAGAGGGGGAGGGAGGGACGGAGGATAGGAAGGAGGAAATTCCACGTGTTCGTTTCCACGTTTGGTGATCAGAGGAAATTAGCTGAGGAAAACGGAAGGCTTCCACCAACGCCGATCCGTTTGGCTACTTCTCAGTCTTATATATATAATATAAATATATATATAAATATATATGCTGTAGGACTGCAACTTTAACTTGGGTTTCGCTTTCTGCCACCCAAACGACATCCAAACAAAACTTCCCGTGAAGCAAAGCGACGATCGTTTGACCGGGATACACTTCTTTTCGGCGCTCTTCGTCAAAGTCGGTTCCCCAAGAACTGGCTGCAGCTTTGCCTTACTGCCACCCGCGGCTTTAGATAAGCCGCCACCGCGGCTTCTCGCCCCCGTTTTCTTTCGGGTTTCAATCGCTGTCATTCGTAGAGTTGTAAGTATGGCTGAGTCACCTATTTAAAATAACCCAAGGTAGGGCCTGGTAGTAACCCAGATTAACGGATGTGTGTGTCCTTGTTCCCTTCACTACTTTTCCCGAATGTCTGTATTTTTCTGGTTAGGGTAATAGTATATAAGTTCCTCCTTACACCTTACCCCCGCTCCTGTTAGCTCCTAAGCAAACAGACATTGGGTGATAGCCTAAGTAAGCGTCTTACTTAAGGGACGCTGGTCCTTAATAAGCAAGGATGATTATTAGTACCGCAGCAAATCTGTGATGTGGATTTTTATTAAATAAAGGTCACATGTTTTCGGAAATACCCCCCCCCCTCCGGAGTTTTTAAGGGTTTGCTCCTAGCGATTGTAGCAAAAGACAATACCCACGGTTAAGGCTGACAGAAAGCGGAAGATCGGGGTATAAAACCAAGTCCGCGGTTTGTGAAACCAGCGGAGAGCGGAGACGCCCCACTTACCCCTTCAGGAGCTTATGCGCGAAGGAGGGGGCGGTGGGCAGGACCCCCATTCTCCTCAAGCAGGACTCGGCCCAGGCAGGGCGTTTGGGACAGCGGTTGCTGCCGGCTCCGTAGGACGGAATTGGGGTTCAGGTATCCGGGGCGTTGCTAGCAAAGAACCCGGAGTGGCGAGCAGGAGAAACCGAAAGATTTGTGTTTTTTTTTTTATTCGGCTTGACGAAAGCCACAATAAAAATAGGGACTTAACGACGATACCGGGAGAATTGTGCACCTGGTCTCCGAAACTATTGCTTAATCCTCTAGACTAGAGCTGGGTACTGACCCTTATCTTGTTGCTTAAGTTAGTGGCAGGCTAAACGAGCCTCGAGGTACCTATCACAGAAACACTAGGCGGCATCTTTATAGTTGACTCGATCTCTCTCCTCCCAATAACAACGCCTTTTCATAAACTTCACAGCTTCACTTATTGAGGGTTCCTTTTTTTTCGGAGCACTAGCTCCTTTAGTACAGGGGTCTTCAAACTTGACAGCTTTAAGACTTGTGGACTTCAATTCCCAGAATTCCTCCTCCAGTCATGTTACCTCAGGCATTTTGAGAGTAGAAATCCACAAGTCAAAACTTGCCAAGTTTGAAGACCCGATGCTTTAGTAGCTTCCGCTTCACCTCTTCTTAACTTGGTTACTGAATTAGCCTGTCTTTGTACACGGGACAAACTTATAAAAGGGCAGGGTTGAGGTTGCCTCTGCTGCAAGACTACTTTGTTTTGTTTTTAAGAGAAAACCACTAGAATACTCTGCAGGATTGTTATGTACCAATCTTCCTTCCCCCAATGAACATGACAATCTTAGGATATGTTGCAATATTGTGCATTGCACAGAATCGTTTCGACAGTACTATTTTGCAACCTGAATTTCATCATGGATTTGATTTGGAAGCACTGATAAAATTACATTTGAGATACATACTGAGAACAGATAAGATTTCAAATATGTTCTCAACATAACACACATACACATACACAATGTTTTAAAAATCACCCATATATATAGCAAAACTGATTAGGGTGCTATTGACTTTTATATCTGGTTCTAACTTTGGGATTTGTTTTGTTTTGATTTTGGGGGGGCGGGTTTCTAAATGTGTGCAACACAAACAAAAATGGGAAAACTATCCTTTTTCATTGGGATAAAATGAACCAGGAACTTAGTTCACTATCTACTGGTAGTTAGTGTTAGAAAAGAGATGATTTACCCCATGTCAGGCTCTAGAAAGAATTGAAATAATTTCTTTATTTTAAATGGTCTCATTTAAAAGCTACCTTTTATTTGTTAGTTTTGTTTCATACATGAGACAGTATATATTAAACTATATACAATTTCCCCCATTGGTTGTGAATAATACCTGCTCTCAGTAAGTGAGAATGAGCATTATTTTGGCTTTGCACCTCCTGACCGCAAAATCTTTGTATTATTCATTAAATCAGCCTATACTTTTTTTTAGGTTTCTGTATGAAATGACTCATTAAACAGTCATTTTTCTTTCAATTTTTTTTCCCTTTCAAATTCATGCAGAAATCTAAACAAAGTATCTGTATTTTGCTTTAGTGAATAGTATACAGGAGCTTTGATTATATCTTTTGTTTAAGTTCTTAAGCATTTTTTCTAAATCATTTTTAAGTGTTTGTCTAAGTAATTATATAAAAAAGATACCGAATACAATAAAACAATTGAAATTTATGCAATTGATTTGTCTTGGTAAATCATAGTGTGCTTTTTTACTTGTTTTTATTTCAGATTTTGTTTTTAATCTTATTGTGTCAACACAACATGTGTACTGGCCTGTTGGAGAACTATGTGGCTGCCATGGTGTTGAGTGCAGCTGGAGATGCCCTGGGCTTTTGTAATGCAAAATGGGAATTCCAAAAAAGCGGCGAGAAAATTCACAACGAAGTAGCCAAAATGGGTGGCGTGGACCATCTTGACATAAAAGGTTGGAAGGTCAGCGATGACACCGTTATGCACTTGGCTACTGCTGAAGCCTTGGTTGCTGCTGGCAAAAACCCAGACTTGTCCCACTTGTACAAACTCCTTGCAATGAATTACAGGGATTGTATGAGTGACATGGCTGGACGAGCTCCAGGTATATATTTAAAATGTTTCCATGGGAATGAGTCGAATAGTATTTCTCAAATGTCATGCTTTACCAGGTGTATTCTGCTTCACTATTGGAACAGCTCCATTTACAACTCTGCTTATCGGCCTTTTTTATGATTCTTGTTTGAATGTAAACCTACTTTTTGCAACCTGCAGAGCCATTTCTGGCTACAATTGCTGAAAATTATTGGATGCTTTAGTAGCCACAGTTCATATTCGATTTACTTTTTTCCAGTCAGATCTTATTAGAGGGATCATACCATGTGGTTCCAAATGGTTTAGAATAAACTCCACAACTCTCTCAGGGCACTGGGTATGTTGATTGTGAATGATGGGACTTAATGACTAACCAATCTGGAAAATAGCAGCATGTAGGAGGTTAACAGAGATATAAGAATGAAATGGACTCAAAATCATAAAATTGTAAGCTAAGGTGAGATCTAGCCAAATATTTACCTCATTACTCAATCTTTCCTCCTAGCATAGTTAGCTATTTCTCTTCCCTTCAATATAGCTCCTTCTCTTAATTAGGACAAACATCTAAGGGAATATTAATCTCTTCAGTCTATCCATAGAACATACCAAAATTTGGTTCAAGTATATTGTGGCATTTTGCTTTCCCATCAAATATATTGAAGATCCTGGAAAACTTTGATTGGTCCAGAATGCAGTGGTTTTTATAGTAATCGGAGTCTCTTGGTTTTCTCATGCAAAGTCTCTATTGTGAGAGTTGCACTGTTTATCGGTTCTCTTCCAGGTGCAATTCTGGGTGTGGTAATTCCATTGAAAGGCCCAACGTGGCTTAGAATAACTGATGGACCATCTTTTCCCAATGTGAAAGGGGGCAGTTTCTGTGTTCATTTGACTGTTATATATAGATTTTATCAGCTGTGACTCCTCCTCCTTTGGGACAGCCTTCTTCCCAAGATCAAATTGTTTTCCACTGATTTTTCAGAAAGCAACTAAAAGCTGCCTTGGAAATACAGTTGTGATGAGGGGATTACTATATTACTGGTTAAGTTCCCATTTGTTTAAGGCTACAGTAATATATCCTGCTAAGTGACAAATCATGGTTCATCAGCCAACTATCTCAGCCAAGTGACTTGGTGAAGTGTGTATAGGTGTGTGTGTGTGGTAACCCAGTTCCAAGCCATATAGGGCTTTAAAGGTGACAGGACCATGAACTATACCCTGAAACACACTGGTAACTAATGCAGCTCACACAGTAGTGGTATTATATGTGACACACTATTTATTACCTATGCAGCCACATTCTCTTATCACAGGGTGTCAAACTCAAGGCCTGGGGAACAGATCTGGCCCATGGGGTGCTTAGATTTGGCCTGCGGGGTCACCCTAGAAACAGCAAAGGACCAGCCCACAGTGCCTCTGCCAGTGAAAATGTCCCCCCCCAGCTCTGTTTTTGCTGGCAGAGGGTTGCAGGAGGCCATCCCAGCCAAAAACAGAGCTTGGGAGCCCATTTTCTGGCAGAGCACTTGGGTCACGGGTGCCCCCGATATGAGTGTTGTCAAGCTGGTCATGTCCACCCTAGCCACACCCACCCCAGTCCCCGAGGTCAAACACAACCCTGATGTGGCCCTCAAAGAAATCGAGTTTGACACCCCGGTCTACCAGTTGAAACTTTCAAATGGTCTTTAATGACAGGCCAATATAGAGCCTACTGCAGTAGTCTACACACAAAGAACAATACCCAAACCCAAGAATCCAGAGTTTGGCTTCATGCAACGTGTGCTTGCCTTTTGAATTTTACTGAATAGATATGTTTACATTTATATTTATAAATTTATTTAAATTGATATATCCCTTTTATCCAAACAAGTCTTTAATCAGCTTATATATAAAATAAAGGAGCTTATAAAGGAGCCTCTGTGGCGCAGTGGTTAGAGTGCAGTACTGCAAGCTACTTCTTCTGCAGCCAGCTGCCTACAATTTCGCAATTCAAATCCCATCAGGCTCAAGGTTGACTCAGCCTTCCATCCTTCCGAGGTGGGTAAAATGAGGACCCAAATTGTTGGGGGCAATATGCTGACTCTGTAAACCACTTAGAGAGGGCTGTAAAGCCCTGTAAAGCGATATATAAGTCTTAAGTGCTATTGCTATTATAAAAGAGAGTAAAAAAAAAAAAAAAACCTCTAAAAGAAGCAAGGGTTGTACCAAAAGAAAATCAGGAGAAATAGAAAGTGCAAAGAAAATCAAACAAATAAAATGCAATTAAACTGATGTGTTTCTATGTCATTTAAACATTTCTGTTCTGTTCTGCTCATAACTCATTAAAATTAAGAACCCAGTGACTACTTGTGGAGGGATTCTGGGAACACCTAATATGTATTAACCTCAGGTTATGCACCATGGATGTAGTGCTCAGATAAGAACTACTTTGAAAAACATAACTGAGGATGGGTTGTGTGAAAAGTATGCATGCTGTCCCATCATTCCCCTGAAAACTTCCAAATTAAGCTGAAATACAAAGAACAGTTTTAAATGACCTTTAGAAAAGTCCAGGTTTGGGCTTCTTGCAACTCCTTGTAGAGTAGCTTGCAGGCTTTCAGTTCTTGAGAAATTTATATATCTGTAAACTACCTTGTTGTTTTAGAAGCCTGAAACTCTGCAAATCATAGGGATTTTCCCCTTCTGGAAAAGGCATAGGGAAATTCCTCCTATTGCTCTGACCTTCAGAAAAACTCGCAAAGTAACCTTTCTTTGTAAATTCTTGGTAACTAGGTAGAAACGTTTCTTCGGGATCAGATTGCATTAGTGAAGATAATTTATCTAAAGTATTTTGTCAACCTAAAGTTGTTTTTTTCCCTTTTTTAACCATAGAAGATTACATGTTATTAAATTAACTCACATTTTCCTTTACAAAAATACATTGTATATACCTTTCAGCTCTTAAAGGGTTTTCAATTTCATTGTACATATGTTGTGCATTGACATTTGATTTGATTTATTTGATTATAGAACTGGCAGTGGTCATATAGAGATAGTGACGTTGCTTCTCTTTTTAATACAAACTACATTAAAAATGCCTCCAGATAATGCCTGTACAGACTTCGTTTAAATGTATTCAGTTATGTGAAGCCTACCGCTGCTCTGAGTATAATTAGTTCCACTGGTAAACAGTTCTCTAATTCTTATGCATTTCCGTAACTTACATCATTCTCTGTTCTGTTCTGTACAATGATAGGGAATAAGTCTTGGTTTAGTTCTGTGTGAACCACCCTGTCTTATGATTTTGAAAACTAGAAGATGTCTACTATAGACCATTAAGCTCCAGTCATACAATTACTTCATTCTGCTTCCACCATTGCTAACCAAAGCCTGTGAGAAGTCCAATAACATTCTCCTATGCAAGTTTTTAGCAATTGATATTGGGAGATTTGACTGCCTCTATTCCCAAAAGATACTTTGGACTTCTCTATAGTTCTTTGCTGGATTTCTTAAAGATATTTTCATTGTGTGGAACCTAAAAACATGTTAATTAAAAATACAGAAATAAAGAAGTTCTCAAATAATCCCCCCCCTTTCTCTCTTTTAAATGTGTAACGATTCTCTGAATTTTCATTTAAGCTACACCGAGTAATGAAGATGTTGGGGAAAAAAGTGAATTCTTGTCTTCTAGGTGTAATACATGCATATTTTGGTATAAATGTAAAGGGTTTCCCACTTACATCTTTTGATTTATATACTATATATTTTTTATTCTGTGTGTAGTCAGAATTAGCTCCCACAACTTTCAGTGTGCATCTAATTACATCCTCAGATTGTTTATTATGTTAATTATACTTTTTGTAATTATTACATTATTTGCTTCTTCAACTTACTTGCTTTACCAATATTGTTAAGACTGTTCAGATTTATGAACAGCATTAACAACTTTCAGTTTCACAGTGGTAAAACAGGCTTTTATACAAGAGTAGGTTTGTATTGAAATGGATTGCTAGTTTTGACATCCTTTTTTGCACACTTTTCCATTATAGTTCAGTAGCATCACTATCACTAACTGCTATTTTTGTAAAGTAGGCTTCTTTATTCTGTGTTTTTAAAATGTGTTAGCCCTTATCTTCAGGCAACATTGGCTAGATTGAGTAAGGATAATGGGTCTTATAAGAAAACATCTAGAGACGCTCATCGTGTCTTACATTGTGTAAGAAGTCAGGCTTAGCAAAAGTTCATTCAGAGAAAAATTTTCTGATAATGGCACTAAATAATTTGGAGCTGTTAGTGTTTGGGGATAAACCCCCGAGCAGAGTGCACAGCAGCAGTCTAACCAGGCAGCCAAATGAGAGAGAGAGGCTGGGCCCAAGAGTATACACACACTTAAGACAAAAAACACTGTTTGTGGTTTTAAATAGATATTTAATTCACACAGAGATTAAGAATAGTCATTCAGTCCATATGTCAGTATCCAGTATATCCATCCAGTTACCTAGTCTTTAAACAGTAAATACAATGTCTTTATCTGCTTGTAAATCTTCTTCTTCCGATACCTTTCTCTCAAAGACAATGCTGAGTATGAACAGCTCACCAAGTAAACACAGTCCTTTAGTTCAGTAGAGAGAGGTATCTTGCACAGTAGACATCTCATACAGGAGTAAAGCAGTAGTAGACAGACAGCAGACAGACCAGAGACCAGTAACACCAGGAACCAGGAACCAGACCAGTGGAAACCAGGATCAGAAACCAGGTGCATCCAGAAGCCGGGTCTATTACGTTTCCCTTCCTACCTTTATTACTGCCTGCAACCGCACCCACAATGATATTGCAGTTTCTTGTGCTTAAAGCTACAAGACACTTAATCCTAGGTTTACATATTTATTCAACCCAAACCTGGTTGGTGTATCCATATACCCAACAGGAGCTATGTTGTTGGAAAACTTTGGTCTAAACTCTATTTCTAGTGTTTAATTTTATTGTTTTTTCTTCCTGCTTAATGTTTAACGTTTTATTGTTTTGCCTGCTGTTCTGATACAATGTCCCATCTTTCACAGGTAATACTTGCATGCATTATGCTATGAATTTGGATCCAGATGACTCACATAGCTGGATACCTAGTTTCTGTGAAAGGGGAGGAGGGTGTGGAGCTGCCATGAGATCAATGTGCATTGGACTAAGATTTTGTCATCCAGAAGACCTGGAAACATTAATTACAGTCAGTATTGAGAGTGGACGAATGACTCACCATCATCCTACTGGTTATCTTGGATCCCTTGCATCTGCTCTTTTTACTTCCTATGCTGTGAATCACAAACCAATAAAGGAGTGGGGAAAAGGGCTAATGGAGGTGATCCCTAAAGCAAAGGCCTATATCCAGAGGTCTGGCTGCTTTGTAAATAAAAATTTGGAGCATTGGTAAGCATGAGTATTTGTGATCTTAAGAGTTGAAAGTCTTAAGCAAATCTGATATTTTTGTGACTACAGAGCTGAGCAAGCATTAAATATATTCTATTCAGACAACACACATAGATAATTTGGAACAAAAGGATAATCTATGAGTAGTATACACACTTTCCTTATTTGAACTCTCAACTGGAGAACACAAGAGTTCCAGAATGGAGGAGAAAAGGTAACAGAAGAACAGAATAAGAGTTGGGAGAAATTCTAGTTTAACCCTCAGTCAAGCAGGAAACCCTATACAATTTCAGACAAATGCTTGTCCAATCTCTTTAAAAATCTCCAGTATTGGAGCACCCTCAACCTCTGAAGGCAAGCCATTCCACTGATAGTTCTAAAATAGTTTCTGCAGATTTAGAATAATCCGCTAATCGTTGCCAACTATAGGGGACACCATTTCAAGGCCATTGAGTCAGCCCTGACCGAAGACAGTCATGTGGCTAGCATGATGTCACAGTGCTCTTACCTTCCCACATTTGGACTGAAACAAATGTTGGCTTCCTGGCACCCGCATCCCTGACATCAGGGAAGGTAACAGCACTCCATGGTACTTATTTATTTACTCACTTGCATGCTTTCAAATTGCTAGTTTGGCAGGAACTGGGGTGACAGAGGGACCCTCGTGGTCACATGGTGCTCAGGTCTTGGATCTGGGCTGCCAGCTTTCCAGTCGACAAGCCCAGCATCTTAATTGTTGGGCCACCATGCCATGTTCTGTCAAGAAATTTTTCCTTAGTTCTAGGTTGCATCTCTCTTTGATTAGTTTTCATTCATTGCTTCTTGTTGAACCTTCAGGTGCTTTGGAGAATAAGTTGACCCCCACTTCTTGGGGCAGCCTCTGATATTGGAAGACTGCTGTCATGTCAACCTTAGTCCTTTTCATTAAACTAGACATACCTAATTCCAGCAATCATTCTTTTTGTTTTAGCTTCCAGTCCCCAAATCATCTTTGTTGTTCTCTGCACTTCCTAGAAGCTCAACATCTTTTTTTATATTGTGGAGACCAAAACTGTATGCAATATGTATTCTATAGGTAATGGGAAAAGCCAAGTTAAATGCTATTTGACAACTTATGCCTTAATCCTTCTATATCAGGTCCATTTTTATATTTTATACATCTAAGTGAGATGTCAAACTCCAGGCCTGTGGGGCTGTCCTAGTCTACCCAATGCGAAGAGGAAAGACCGGCCTGGTCTACCCAGTGTGAAGAATGATCAGGCCAGTGTAGCTTTAGCTTGGTGTATCCGGTGCGAAGTGAGATCAGGCCAGCATGGCTTTGGCCCAGCCTACCCAGTGCAAAGAGGAAAGACCAGGCCAGTGTGGCGTATATCCAATGAGGAGAAACATGCCAGCAGTTTGGGGAGTGGCAGAAAGCTGGCCATGTCCACCCAGTCAGCCACGCCCTCAATGAAATTGAGTTTGACACCCCTGATATAAGACAACATCTTCTAACTGGAATTTTCTTGTTATATTGGATTTCAGTTTTCCTCCATAATCTTCCAGCTATCAAGTGGGAAGGTGGTATGGTTAGAGTTTTAATACAAATTCATTAATTTACATAAATCTAACTTATCAACAGAAACTTTGCATTTCTATTTCACAGGAACTACTTTGAAAGCCAGTGGAAAAAATACCTGGAAATCAGAGGCATCTCAGATGGGATCTCTCCTCCTTCCTTCCCTAAAGTATTTGGCGTGAAAGAGAGAGATGAATTCTACACTTCCTTGAGTTTCTCTGGGTGGGGCGGTAGTAGTGGCCATGATGCACCTATGATTGCCTATGATGCCATCCTGGGCTCTGAGAACTGGACTGAGTTAGCTCTTAGGAGTTTCTTTCATGGTGGGGACAGTGACTCTACTGCGGTGATTGCTGCATGCTGGTGGGGCGCAATGTATGGCTTCAAAGGAGTTAGTGAAAAAAACTATAAAAATATTGAATACAAAGACAGACTGGAAAAAGTGGCTAAGGAACTCTATCATCTCAGCTTGACTACCTAAATGCAGTGCTAGAGATAAAGCAACTGTTAAAATTCAGCAAAACCAAATACTTACTTGTGAACTTATAAAATAATGTGAATAGTGAATATATCTAGATTGTGATTGAAGTTATTCAGTAAATACTGAAAGATATAACATCATCATGTCCTTTAAAAAACTAAAGAACTTAGAGTATAATGTAACATTTAGCTGAAAGGGAGAGGGGAAAAGATACTTCTAATTTTATTTGTAAAATTGGTTGGGACCTCTAATTTTTTGTGTTTTGTTTGTATTAGGAATGAGCAGAATCTGAAACAAGACTTTTTGATACACGCACTGGGCTTTTTAGGAAGTGTGTAGATCGATAAACATTGTCCCTACTCCAATTTTACTTTTTGGATTGTAATTTTAGATCAGAGAAGCCATTAGTCCTCTAGCTGCAACTGAGCTATTGTCATCCATCATTTCAAATTGCTGCCATAACTATAAGCAATTTTAAGTCCTGCCTTAGCCATGAAAGCCAGTTGGGTGTCTATGGGCCAGGCACTCTCTCAGCCCAACTCACCTCCCAGGGTTGTTGTTGTGGGGAAAATAGAGTTGGTACATACATACATATTCTGTGGATTTTTGACTGACATCTTTGCAGGCAGTGAGCTACACCGTGGCCTCAGGAATTATAACATTTAAGTTTTGCTTAGTATTTTGCAAACTTGTTCATTCAACCAAATAAAGAGTTGATTGAAATAGGCCCAGTTGGATTGAAGATGTGTGGTTCATAGATTATTTGTATCCTGCCTTTATTATATTTACAAATAACTTAAGCCAGTGAACATATCTAATACTCCTCCTTCCTATATCCCCCCCCAAAAACACCGTTAGGTGAGTTGGGCTGAGAGAGAATGCCTGACTCAAAATCACCCAACTGACTTTCATGGTAAAAGTGGGGTTTGAATTCATGGTCTCATAGTTTCTAGCCTGGTGCTTTAACCATTAGAATAACCTGGCTCTGAGATTACAAAAAAAGTGTTTAAGGACAATCTCTTAAGGAATAAAAAATGATAATTGCTATGCATAGAGATATTTTGCATAACTTCAATAATATACTGCAACATTAACTTATTCCCATTCTTCCCTCAGCATTGTTGAATCTTTAAGGAAAAGCAGATCATCTTTTTGTCATTACAGCTAAGCTCCAGCCAAGTTACGGTAGATCTTCATAATCTTATCTTTCAGAATGAAAGGGGAACAGACCAATGAAATCCATTCTTCTGTACAAATGAGTAACCGTAGGCATTTGTTCAATGCTTATGTTGTGTGCCCATGCTAGCGATGCCAAGCCACGGTAAGAGCAAGAACATTATGGCTTGCTGCATCCAACTTGACATAAACAGCACATTGATAGCTGGATTGTATCAATAAAAAGTTTTGTCAAGAGTTCAAAACCATTAACACAGGACAATAAATCACCATTTTAACACAGTTTACTACAGCTTGCATGTGTGTTGTATAAAACATTTAGTGCAACATGGTACAAAGTTTCTCTTTAATAATAATAATAATAAAAAACACATTTTCTCACATCATGCAAAGGTAGCTTGTTCTTTTTCTCTGGGTAGAGAAAGAGTGGTCCAAAAAGCTTTGTGAAAGCTTTTTGCAGGCGGTGTCCATGTCTTAAAAAGAGAGCCTATTCTGAACTGGTAATCAGTTTGGCAGCACAATGGACAAGTCATTTGCAAGTGATGCTTGGTGCTGCTTGTGGGATAATTCTTCCACTATTTAAGAGGCTTTATGACATCCATATACTTTCCCAAGAGTCCACAGATTGGAGAGCTCGCCACTGGATGTCGCTGTGGGATAACTTTCCATAAGCAGGTACGCAGAGGAGGATTGCTGGTAGGGAAGCATTAATGCTGCTAGGTCCATTTAAAACATTTCCAATGCAAAGATAAGAAACAATGTTGTTTAGGGCATGGATTGTCCCACTGCCTCCTTTCCTTTTTAAGACCTTAACTCAATTACAGCTCCTGCCCTCCAGCAGTATATGTACAAGACGTTTTACATCAACAGAACTGTACAGAGAAGCTAGGAACTTTCGAGTGGGTATGCGTATGGAGATGTTTCTTTTTAAATCCCCTCTCTTCTGAATAGACAGTATAGGCAGGCAGACTAAAACCATATATGTTTTCTCAAATTGCACATTATATAAGATTAAGGTTTTGCAGAGGCAGTTTTGGCTCTGGGAACTTTCTGGATGCTTTATTAAAATGTTACAAGGGTGGGAGACTTTTTTCAAAACCACGGAGCTTAGATTATCTCCCCCCCCCCCCCCCCCCCCTAGGAACTCCTGCCTCAACCTAAGGTCCTTTAAATGTGTTTGATTACAAATCTATTATTTCTAGCCAGCCTAACCAAAGGCCCTGCTGGCTGGGAAATTATTCAAAGTGTAGTCTCCACCCATCTCAGAAACACCAAAAAGACTGCTCGAATAACAGGCATGTCTTTCTCTTGACATACGGAAAACCTTTACCTTGGTGTTAAAGCACCATTCATCAAGTTTGTTATTCCCACAAATTGCTTTAATAAGGACAAATTAGCAAAGCTATTAGTTTTCGCTCTTCAGGGAGGAAAAACCTGCTGTATTGCTATCTTCTTACCACTTCTTACCATTTTCACGTCAAGGCAGCAGAACATGCTGGCATATATAGCTGACACTATGAATCACACAGATTCACCTGTTTTATGAAAATTAGCAACCAGCTGTGCCAGGAAGACTTTTAGGAAGACAGTAAGTACATTTTTTTTTAAGTTTTAAAATTTCCCTGTCTCTGCAGCTAGAATCAGGGCACAAGAGATCTGGTCCATCATGTATAACAAGCATTTTCCTGGACAGCACATGGAAAGAGCTCTTGACTTGAAGTAGGAATTCCACCTGAACTGAACCAAGGTCTCTTAATGCTGTGCCTTTCATAGAAAGAACAACAGTTCTTAGCCCAGCATATTTTCACTTACTGTGGCTTATGCAAGGCTGGTGGAATGAAGATGAAGGTTAGTATACCTGAAGAAATAAAGCTGAAATAACAAAGCAGTGTATACATATATGAGAGGGAAGGAAGAACATTCATACCCTTTCTTGCCTGATGTAAGCTTCTTTGTGTAGACAGTGCAGCTGGACACAACATTTGTAAGAAACAGACGTTGGTCACTATGTCAGCTCTTTCTCTGCTCTGTTTCAACATTCCACAGTTATTACAGTGCGAGGCCACACAAGGAGGCACTTACTTCTGCACTGCTTCTTAAACTTTGGTCAAGATTAGGATCTATTTTTTTTCTGCTGCAATCTCTAAGCGTGATAGTGGAGGATATTTAAACCAGGGCCCTTTTGGTCATTGGAATTAGTCAGACAATTGTACGTGGGGAAGTCAAAGTTCTCTTTTGATGGACTGTAATTTCTTTTTGAAACTAAAAACAAAGCCCCCCCACTCCCCCATATGCATTTTCAGTCCTGAAGTAATAGGCAACATCCAGACTGATATGGCAGAAACAATGCTGCTTAATATGTAGTATGGAGTGATCCTAGGTTCATTTCTCAAAAGCAATATGCAGTTTTCCTGGTCCATTCCAAGGACATGTAACTGCTGAAACAAGCCCATTTGATAAAACAAGCTTACTCAAAATAAAGTGCCCCACTTTGGCACAACCAGAGCCCAACTTAATCAATACATTCTGGAGTCTGTCCTCTGCATAATACAAGAATACATACTTGAGCAACAGAATTACAGCCCAGAAGACAAATGATGATATTGGATGAAAAGGAAAACAGTATGAAAATTCATTATATACAGCGAACAAATGGACATTCTATCCCCCGTAGCAATTGGCTGGTTCTTCACAGGCATTCTGGGGTGTTCAAGTTCTTTTAGCCCCAAAGGTGACGGAACAGTGTAGCAGAGGTAAGCTGGTATCCAAAAGTTCAGATGGTGAATAAAAATACAACAAAATAGACCTTTGGGTTTCAGATGCAGCTTCACCTCTCTTAGGGCTCTGCCGTTTAATCTATGGTTCCTGGATGAATGCTGAGAACAGGAGGCTCCAGACAAGTGGGGGAATAGTTTAGATGTGGCTCTTTGATCCATAACAAAGGGACCCCGTTCTTTCCTTCTGAATTCTTGCTGGAATTTCGGCTTTTGAATCGCACCAGCAAAATGGTGATGATGAGAATGCCAAAAATGGGAAAGGGATAAAAAAATACGAAGTAGAACAGGGAGTCATTGTTGCAGATAACAGACTGCAGAGAGGAACCTAAAAAAGAGTGAAAGGATAGTAATAAACTTTCAGATCAATACATTTCTTTTTTCAGTATATTATAAACATTTGTGTCTGAAAGTCTGTGCCTCTATGTGCCTGCGTCTGTGTTTTTGTTAAGTCAATCTTGATTTCTGGTAATTACAAGGTCCAGTTCAGTTTTAATATCCACACAATTTTCTTGGCAACATCTTCAGAAGAAAGCTATTGTCTTCCTAGTATGAGAGACAACGATTGCCCCAAAGTCATCCAAATGGCTTCTGTGCCAAAGACAGGACTAGAACTGGAATCTTCCTGCAGCAGAGTCATTACATAGTCCAGAGCCTTTACCGCTAGACCAAACTGCCCCTTGTAAACAACTATTAAGAAGCAATATACCAAGTGAGGCTGTGTGAATAGAACTCTTAATCAAAAGGTTTTGTTTACTACAATACTCAAATTTAGCAACTGTATTCCTCAATCACTAACAACGAGTATAAATTGCCATATGTACAGGTCATGGATTGACAATCAAAGGGAAATTAATTTTTAGATCTTTGCTTCATTTTGCTCTCAGAGCCATACTCTTTCAAAAGAACAGTACTGTTTTTGAGAAAGTTCCATACCTGTAATTTTAAGAAAAATATATATCAGAGACGGTAGAGAACAAAGATAGTATAGTCGAACTAAGACCTGAGAGATCCAGATTCAACTACACCCCTTCCAATGGAAACTCACTAGCTGATTTTAAATCAGTCATTTTCTTACACGATTGATTTAGTGAAGCTGGAAGCTGCTCCATGAAAACTGTCCTGAGCTCCTTAGTAAGTTAATACAGCATTTTCTCATATCAAACAAATTAAAAGTTTGGTAGCAAAACAAAAGATAATGCTTTTGGCATTTGTACAGTCCTGGATCTTAGGTTGGGTAGCTCTGCATTACAATAGGGAAACTTCAGTTAGAAAATCCTCAATTTGCATGACATTTTGATGCAGAAAAGTAGCTATTCCAGTTAATATACAACAGGTATAAGGCTGTTAGAAACATGTTGTGCCAGAAATCGTTCTGCAGTGCTCCTGCAGTGCTAATATTCTTCAATTTGTTTCAGAAAAAATCTAAAACACATTTAGATTACCCAGAGTGACATAGTTGTGAATAACTGCTCCTACATTACACCCAGCATAACTTATAACTTCCACCCACATTTTTAGGATATATCATTTAGTTATTTTTCTTGCTTATTCTGCATGGCATATGCTACTTGCAATCAACATTAAAAAATGGGCAGTTTTTACTGGTTGAAAATAACTGTGACAGGCAATTATCACACTCATTAACTAATATTCTGAAAACACTTTATTTAATATAGATCCTTCAAAATATTCTCAAGCTATATTCTTACTGAATTTTTACAAGCCCCATTACTGTCCATTAAATACCTTAATCATCTTACCTGTATCTTGTACATAAACAGTTATAAGACCAGAATCATCTTCTGTAAGTTTGTACCATACTCCCTTGGGGTCAGGTAGCCACTCTTCCACATGGCATGAGTAATTGCCAGCATCAGAAGTAGCTGCCTGCAACACAGTCAGTCGATAGAACATGGCTGAAAGTCTTTGAAAACGTAGTCTCCCTTCCCAAGGGCTGGCCTCTCGGCTGAAGACAAAATCCTGGCCTATACTTAACAAGGCCTCTCTATCTTCGTCATTCTTGTGACCAGTTTGCCCACTTCTGCCTTTATTCTTCATGATGAACCATGTCACAGCAAAACGGGAATCTTGGCTGGTAGTTGACAAAATGTTGCAATCCAAATGGAAATGGTCCTGTTCTGGCACTGTGAGGTTGGCTATTGTTGCATCCACTTGCAGTGAGGCATCTGAAGGTATTGAAGATATACAAAGGCCAATTAATTTCTCTAATTGTACAGAACATGAGCCAATGCTGAAAAGCA